GTTGTGTTTTGGTGGATCATAATTCTTTTGAGGATTCTTATGTACTTTTGACTTGATCTTTGGATCTAAACTTGTACTCCTATTTGCCCTAATTTATTGATGGAATCCATTTTTGTGCTTTTGATGCTGTCTCGTTTACTCCAACTGTATGGTAAATGCTGATATAAAAACTAAAAAAGAATCAACTTTTTGATGTAATTTAGTATAAAGTTTCCAACTTTAGCTTGGATCCATCAGAATTTGTTTGCATTTCATGAAAAAGGGTTGTGTGTTTCTGTTTCTAATCTTGCATTTTGAGAATTACCTAATTGTTGATCATTTGAACTTGTATATCAGATCCACTCTGGGGGATACTCCTAATAAGTCAACACCAGCAACTCCTCGAGACCGGGTGAGCAAATTGAGCAGGGGACTGTCAAAGTCTGATGCTGATTCGACCTCGCCATTGCAGAATTCACGCCTTCCAGTTGAGAAATCTCCAAGATCTGTTACTTCCAAGCCTTCTGTGGAACGGCGGTCTCCTAAGATCAGTACTCCACCTGATGTAAGTTTCAGATAATTCATTCCTTGACTGATTATCCTTGTTTTGGCCTGCATTTTTTTCGAGGGTTGGTGGATCTAGAGATGGAAAAAGGCATGAAGTTGAATAATAGGATGCAACTTAAGTTGTAATTTCTTGTTGTGGTATGTGTCTAATTAGGTGAAATTGTCAGTTTTGATACACCATTGGTTTAAATAAATGCACTAGCAGTCGTGGCGATTAGTGAATTATTCAGACTCGCTAACAGTAATGGCTGAAATGATATCTAATATATATTGTTTGTCTCAAAACTTACATATTCTGATCAGAAGCATTGCATGATCTAATTGTTGACAGAAAAAGCCAATGCGGATCCTGAAGCCATCAGAGCTGCAAGCTGAATTGAATGTTGTTCATGAAGATCTTAAGAAGGCAAAGGAGAAATTAGCTTTAGCTGAGAAGGAGAAGGAGAAAGCACTTGAAGAAGTGAAGGAATCTCAGAGAATGGCTGAAGAAGCCAATGAGAAGCTGAGAGAAGCTACGGTGGCCCAAAAGCGAGCTGAAGAGAACTCTGAAATTGAAAAGTTCCGAGCTGTTGAGATGGAACAAGCAGGGATTGAGGCATCTCAGAAGAAAGAAGAGGAATGGAAAAAGGAGCTCGAAGATGTGAAGAACCAACATGCTTTGGATGTTGCTGCTCTCCTAACCGCCACAGAGGAACTTCAACGGATAAAGCAAGAATTATCCATGACTTCTGATGCCAAAAATCAGGCACTCAGCCACGCTGATGATGCCACAAAGATTGCTGAAATTCAGGCAGAGAAGGTGGAAATTCTCTCCGCCGAGTTAGTGAGATTGAAATCTTTGCTTGAATCTAGGAATCAAAGTGATTCTAGCGAGAAGAATAAACTGGTGGAAGATCTGAACCATGAGATAGCAGCACTGAGAGAAGTAGATAATGAGAAGAATAAGTTGATGGAAAACCTGAAACTTGAGATAGAGGCACTGAGAACAGAAGACTGTGAGAAAAATAAGTTGTTGGAAAATCTGAAACTTGAGACGGAGGCTCTGAGAAAAGAAGATGATGAGAAAAATAAGTTGTTGGAAAATCTGGAACATGAGAAAGAGGCACTGAGAAAAGGAGATGTCGAGATGAATATGATGTTAGAAAATCTGAAACTTGCAAATGAGGTATTGAGAAAAGATGATGGTGAGAAGAATAAATTGTTGGAAAATCTGAAACTTCAGATTGAGGCATTGAGAAAAGAAGATAGTCAGAAGAATAAGTTGTTGGAAGACCTGAAACTTGAGGTAGAGGCACTGACAGAAGAACTCGAGGAGGCAAAAAGTTATGAAGAGAAATTGGTGGAGAAAGAAGCTCTCCTGGAGCAACTTAATGTCGATCTGGAGGCTTCTAGGATGGCTGAATCTTATGCACATAATCTAGTGGAGGAGTGTCAGAAGAAAGTCGAGGAATTGGAGGCACAGTCTAAGGAAGCCCGTCATTTGGAGAGGTCTGCTTCTGAATCACTGGAGTCAATCATGAAACAGCTTGAAGGAAGTAATGATTCATTACATGATGCAGAAGCTGAGATTGTTTCTCTCAAGGAGAAGGTGGGCCTACTGGAGATGTCAACAACAAGACAGAAAGGGGATCTTGAGGAATCAGAACGTCGTGCTCAGGTTGCCAGGGAAGAAGCTTCTGAAATGTCAAAGAAGGTTGAGTCACTTATTGCTGAGCTTGAAATCGTGAAGGAGGAGAAAACTCAGGCTATTGAGCAAGAGAAACTAGCGGCAGAAAGTGTTCAATCCCTGTTGGAAGAAAAAAATAAACTTATAAATGAGTTGGACAGTTCCAGGGAGGAGGAAGAGAAAAGTAAGAAGGCAATGGAGAGTTTGGCATCAGCATTGCATGAAGTTTCTTCAGAAGCAAGAGAAGCTAAAGAGAGGTTTTTGTCTAGCCAAGCTGAACAGGAACATTATGAAACACAAATAGAAGATTTGAAGTTAGTACTAAAAGCAACCAATGAAAAGTATGAAAGCCTGCTTGATGAAGCAAAAGAGAAAATTGATGATCTCACTACTTCAGTCGAACAATCTAAGAATGATAACCAGATTTTGAAGGCTGAGTGGGAGGACAAGGAGCTTCATCTGATGAGTTGTGTAAAGAAAACTGAAGAAGAGAATTCTTCAATGGAAATGGAAATAAACCGATTGGTAAATCTGCTAAAAGAGGCTGAGCAAGAAGCTGCTTTCAAAGAAGAAGCAGTTCAGTTAAAGAATTCTCTACAGGAAGCTGAATCTGAGGTGACCTATCTAAAGGAGATTCTTGGTGAAGCAAAGGGTGAGAGCATGAAGTTGAAGGAGTCTTTAATGGACAAGGAAAATGAAGTGCAGAATATTCTTCAGGAGAATGAGGAGCTTCGAAGTAGAGAGGCCGAATCTTTAAAGAAAGTTGAAGAGTTGTCCAAGTCCCTCAAAGAAGCTTTGGCCAAAAAGGAATCTGAAGAAAATGGAGAGCTTTCTGAAAGTGAAAAAGACTATGACATGCTTCCAAAGGTGGTGGAATTCTCCGAACAAAATGGAGGAGGAAGAGTGGAGGAGAAGCCTAAGATTGAAGTTACGCCTCATCAATCTGAGCCAATCCCAGAAGAAAAATCTGAAGTAGTGAACATCACCTTGCATGATAAAGCTGTTGAGACGCTCAGTGAAGATGAGAAGCCAAATGGAGAACTGACTGGAAACAACAACAAACAAAAGGAAGACGATGATTCAGCAGATGGTGAGTTTAAAATGTGGGAGAGCTGCAAGATTGGCGACAAAGACTTCTCTCCTGAAAGAGAGACAGTACAAGAGGAGGAATCAGATTCAAAGACAGAGGCTGGAGAGAGCTACGACCAGGTAAACGGATTACCTTCAGCGGAAAATCCTGAGAATGGTGGCACATCTCCTACAAAGCCACAAAGTCAGAAGAAGAAGAAACCTTTGCTTCATAAATTCGGAAGCCTACTGAAGAAGAAGGGCACCAGCAGCCAGAAGTAATACACCGGTTGTCACCTATCCCGTGCCTGACATGTAGAGAGGTATACTAAATTCAAGAGTAAATGTTGAACTTAAATGTGTTTGCTCAAAATCTTTGCTTTATTTTCTCTTCTTTGGTTATTTGTTTGTCTCAAATAGATGTTTACATAAGAAAAATGATTGTATCATCAGTAGTGTTCCATTCTTATTAGTTCCTGGGGTTCAGTTTCTCAATGTGGTTTCATCATGTTGAGCTAATATCCTTTTATTTTGTATTATTCTTTTTAGCTTTGTTCATTTTCTATACTTTTAGTATCTGATTTCCCATCAGGAGATCAAACAGATGCTTTTCCAAGTGACTATGATATGCTTTTCCAAGTATTTTTCAGAAAATGTGTTATGTTGCTAGATCTTTTGGGGAAAATACTTGTGGAACGAATGACTTAAAAAAAAAATCATTTTCTTTCATAATTATCTCGATTTCTAACGTTACATCATTGCTCAAACTTTAAAACTTAGCCGCGTAGAAGTTCAATAAGGTCAAAGTGTATACGCGTATTCCTCTTACTATTATATAGTGTTTGACGTGAATTCGGAATAGTTGAATTTTAACATACATCGAATGAGAAATCAAAAAAAATATTGGTGAATTAAAAATAAGATGTACCATGTATATATAACATGTTATACTATAGTTTTTAATTAAAATTTTTTTTGAGAAAAGCTTGGAAAATGTCTTTTTTTTTTAAACTCCATTTAGTTGGTTTAACCAAGGATTAAAGCTACTCCAATATTGTTATTCACATTCATGTGGTTATACCAAAATAATGTCATAAATAATCTCAGAATTACTTATATCAAAATCAAAACTTTAACCAAACATAAATAGACTAATCTCACATTTTATTTTACAAATCATTATCCTCATATTTCATGACCAAACAATCCCTAGATGGTTAAATATCAATGTTATTATAATCAACGCAACTAGCCCATAGACTATAAAAAATTATAATTATGTAATAAGAAACTCGATTATTGTTTATACTAAATTATTTTTAAATCATGTATGAAAAAATAATTACTTAGGACACATTTGAACATGAATTTTTTTTTTAGTTGAATTTTGTACAATATGTTTAATTACGGAATTCAACTTAAAATTTTACGCTTTGCTTTTCAAAAATTAAAAAACAAGAAAAAAGTATTTTCATCTTTTTTCAATTTTCAGTAGAATTTACTCAAAAAAAATAAAAAACAACTTCAATTTATATTCATAATCAATTTTTAAACGGTAATTTTTTTCGTTTCAAATTTCACATTTGAAATATGATCGTTACACCCGCTTTTTTCTAACCAAACTACCCCTATATTTAACTTGTTGATTAAGGGAAAAGAAAATAGCGCGAAATTTCTCGGAGCTCCGAGCCAATTTATAAACCGCTTTATCAGTGACCCGTGTCGCAAGTAAAGGATCTCAACTGTATACTCTCTATTTTCATTTTCTCTACGAGCGAACTGTTCTCTACGAACCAAAGAGCGATTCGTTAACGGAGGCCGGAGTTATCACAATCGGAATCTGTGACGGTGACAGAGAGACGGTATGGTGGTGGAGCTGTTTTGTTTCATCGCTGTTATTGTAGTACTTAAGTACTTCTTCTACGATGACGATGTAATCGATGTTGGATCCTCCGATTTCAATGCTCTATTTACTGTTGCCGAAAGGTATTACTCTCTTTTTGAGCTTCTAATTTTCAATCTATTGATTGATGATTTTGATTTTTTTATCGTATGATTGTTTTGTGTCAAGTTAGGCTTGAGAAGCTTTATGGTGGTAAGGCTCATGTAGGACTTCAAATTCCTGACCAGGACTCTGGTTCTCGACAGAGTGTTGATTTAGTTCTCGTCACTAGAAGGTGCGTCTTTTGAACCTACACCATCACAATCAATTGCAAGTTGCATGTATGGTTAATTGAATAAGGTGTATCTGTGCTAGTTTTTTTGGTTTTAGAAGCCTTACCTATTTCATTGGTTTTTGTTTCCATATTTTTGGACTTAAACCTATGAGTAGAACTTTTAGCATTCTCAAGCAATGAAGTGGGATTTAATTGGAGTTCCCTCTGAAATGAGGCAACCTCAAGGCAATCATGGGGCTAAAGTATCATGGGACTGAACACAGTTCATTTGCCCCAAGTGGCTTTACGATCCGGACAGTCGGTTTCATACGCCCCATGTACACTCAGTTATGCTTTAAGCTCTGATTATTCATTCTGAGATGGATGACTCTTTAACTTATGTTGTATTTTCTTCATTAGGGGAGTGTTTGCTGTATTAAGATGTTACTATTCACATAGCCGACCCTAACTTGTTTAGCACTGAGGTTTAGTTGTACATATATGTTCTGCTTGTACAGTTTATCAATTTTATGACATCTTTGCTCTTGTTTTTGTACAATTTTAGAGCACTTCTAATAAAGAAAAATTAAGTTTATTAACTTCCGAATACTTTTATGTTTAAAAATAAGATACACGGGATTTATGCCCCATGCCTTGGCTAACACCTTTCCTCCATGATAAAGCGTCTGGCTCTACAGCTCCTCCCTTGAAATGATTCTAAAGCACAAACTTCTGTGTTTGTTTGTTCAATAACATTTCATTGTATAAGGTAGCGTAAGGATATTTTTCTGTTTTTACTATATCTGTGATTGTAAGAATTTTGTTTTCCTCAATTAGATGGAAACAAAACCAGTTCATAAATTAGTCTCTTTTTTTATTCAGGGAAGCAGTGATAGTTTGTGTAAAGAATGTGGCAGGGTTTGTATCTGTTGATAAGGACGGGAGATGGGTTTGTACTGGAAGCCATAAGACGGAGCGTCTCCCCAATCCTGTTAGTTGCAAATCTGTCCTTATTGCTTTTGGATCTGATGTTGCTAAAAACAACTTGATACTTGATTGAGTACTTTACATGGAAAAGTTTAATTCTCTATCATGGCTTTTTCTATGATTTGTGTGGTCAAACATTGCCTCAAATCTCATAGTTTTTGTGAAATTCTTGTCACTTGCAGGACTGCTCAGAATGCTAACTCTGCCTTGTTCTTTTTGCATGAATTTCCGAAGTGAATATGGCTAGGTGCCACTCATTTATAAACTTTTTTTGATTATGCCCATGAAATAATAATTCTCTTTAGGTCTCTCTCCTTTTTTTTTGTTTGACAAGGGAACCCAAAACCTCGTCCTTCCGGTGTGCACAAGGTAAACCCCGCCCCTGCAAACCAATGTGGAGAATTAGGAAATCCCTGTGCAAAGAGCTCGACTGAGAAAGCATGTAGGGGTTTTGAACCTATGAACCCCATTTGGGAGATCATTCTCTTTGCGTCTTCTGTACATGCCAGTATTGCCTTCTTTAGTTTTTACCAGTAGTATTGACATGAACTGTCTAGGATTCCTTCAGTGATGGTCTTCCTAAGAAGGGATGATGCTATGTCCGCCATTCGCCTTGAGTTAATGCGCAAGGACTTCAAAGGTAAAGCACTAACTAGATCCAGTTGTTTCTTTGCTACATGGAGAACATTACTGTAGATCCACTCTCCCTGGAAGGACTGATGCTACTTGCTTGAGTCTGGAAGGAATATTCTTCTGATTCACTTGTCCCTTATAAATCCCCTACACACTTGTGAAATCACTCCGTCGCGAAGGATGATTTTGGGTTGGATTGAACTGCAGATTAGTGACTTTATTTCTTATTGAAGCTTGATAATTTAGGTAAATTTACTCCATCAAGAGGTAGGTTAGCATTGAGTAATTTCAGCTAAGCTAACCATCTCTAGAAATCTGAAGAGCCCCTCAAAATTATATGAACAATTCTTGCATTTAGGGCTTTGGTTCAATGGTAAGGTCAGGACATGGTATGTGTGAATTGTGCGTAGATCACCAAATCATATCTTTCCATTGGAACTAAGTTGGTAGTTAAGTGGGATCAGCTTGAGGGGTGAGTTCATACTCCGTCACTTACAAATGAGGAAATGGGATCTCTTGCCCTTTTAACATGTGTACCAACTGGGTTGGATCAACTGACTCATCTGGAATTTGTCGGTTATATAAAAAATTTATACGACCAACTCTTGTCTGTTGATCAATTGAGCAAAGAATGCCTCCTGACAGGGTATATAAATATGCTTCGAAGTATATGTCAGTGTAGTATAGTTTTCCTGGAGCATAAATAGGAGCACTCAACCTTGTGCAATACTGGGCTTTAAACAGTTACTCTGTAGGAAGAATCTATTTCAGATTGCTTTTGGAATCATGAATATACCTTGAAGTCCTTTTTCAAGAAGATTTTGCAACAGGTATGTTGAACAGCATGACTTTTTCTCCTTTTAGGACAGTAAGGTCATCTTTGTTTGAGGACACATGCAAGATCAAGTGCTCATAAATTTGTGAAGTGAGATTGATTGGTGATTCTGCAGCGCTTACTGGGCATTAGCATTAAAAAATTTTACTCACCTTATAACAAAATAAGTTCTGAATCAAGATTTTAATATGTTCTGCATCAAAGTTCTCCTTACCAATTTCTAGTTGAGAATTGCACCCAAGGGTGTACTCTTATATAATAAAATAAAATTGCACCCACGGCTGTGTCCTAGTGGTCAATGAACTGGGATGAGAATCATAAGGTATCCTAGTTCAAATCCAATGGAGGCAGTAAATACTTCCCATTGTTCTAAGCTTGAGTAAATACTTCCCTGTGCTAATGGAGGTAGCAGTTACAATTGAATAGTCGAGGTATACATGCCAGCTAAGCCCAGAGACCACAATTACAAAATTGTTCAATTGAGAATAATTCCATTCAGATGCCACCTTATGCTTAACTATGCCTCAATTCCAAATAAGTTGGGGTCGTTTCATCTTATCAAACAACCTGTCATCTTCTATTATTTATCGTTGATTTGTGGAATTTGCTTTTCTTCTTCTGATTTCAAGATTTTAGTTTTGTGCATTTTTATTATAAATTTCTATATTTCAGGTAGCAGAAGCAAACCAATATTCTTGAATCCTACTTTTACCTGATTGTACTTGAAGATAGCCTTGTGATTGGTGGTTATACATGTCTTATCAAACAACTTGTCATCTTCTATTATTTTTCATTGATTAGTGGAATTTGCTTTTCTTCTTCTGATATCAAGATTTTAATTTTGTGCATTGTAATTATAAATTTCTATATTTCAGGTAGCAGAAGCAAAACAATTAGTTCCTATTCTTGAATCCTACCTTGAACAAAGGGGTGTCATTCTTCCGGAAGGATATTTGTCTTGCAAAGTCATATGTTCAAACCCGAATTTCCGGTATGCATTTTCATCATCTGCTTGTTATATATCATAGTAATGTTGAGATTCAGCATGTGTTAGACATTAATTCTTCAAGTTATTTGAAGTTTGAGGAGCGTTTTTTTCCAAGGGACTATCGAGATGTGAGATTTTATAAGTTGAACTGAAAGCAATTGTTCCTAGCTGCTCAAGGCATTAAAGATCCATCCCAGCTCCATAGCTAAATATTTTGGTTGGTTAACCAGGCGATAGCTTTGCGATCAATAGTTTTGTAGGCCACCTACCATACTCCTAAATGATAGATATAGAAGGCATTTGAGGGGCCGAGGCAAGACAGAGAGAGGTACATTACTAGTCTTCTTGGTACCGACCAACCAATGCTAAAATTCCATTGAAGAGAGTTACATGGTAGAACATGAGATAATTTGACTCTTCTTTTCAAGCAATCTTAGTGTTTGAACCTAGAGAGAGAGAGAGAGAGAGAGAGAGAGAGAGAGAATCCGAAGGCTAAATGCTATCACTATTCACATTTGTGAGTTGTGACTCTCCTCTGTCCGGCATTCTTTTTCTCAACAATGTATTTATATTCAATATGAATTTCTCTTTTCTCACCTGCTAAGGATTCGTTTGATGCTCTATTTGTGTCTAGATACTTCCTCTATATCCTATAAATTTTGATGATCTACTTATCAAATAGAACCTTCATTGATTTTTCATAGGAAAAATCCAAATTGGTTCTCAAACACCCTTGTAGAGCTCTCAAGTCTACGTCTATATCTTTTTTCCTCAAAATTTCAGTTGTATGGCTCACAAAATTTTATAGCCCTCACAACTTTGCATATTACCCTTTGTTGTGTGCCTTAATCATGATACTGTTTGTCCACTAATTTTTTCACACCTTAGTGTAACATTGAATAGCTGGGTGAGCTTCGGAACGTCTTTAGGGATATCATGTTATAAAGCAAGTAGCTCGCTGAGAGAATGGACCCATCCGATGTGAGCGAAGTGGCATCTCGATCTGATCCCTGCAGAGTGAAAACGTACTTTGTGGCAGTTGAGCGTAAGTCGTTGATTAAGGAAAATTCCAACATGAAGCAAATAAAGGGCCACAAGGAATATATTTTACTTTTAAGGATAGAAGTTATCAACTATGAGAGGTAGACCATGGATTCCTTCCATTGATATTTTATGACTATTTGGCGAGAATGGAACTGACGAGCTTTTGAAGGGATAGAAAGCACTTCTATGCAATTAAGGGGATATTATTTCCTTTCTGGATTTCTGAGCAACTATGAGATATCTGTTATCATAGACGATTGGTTGTTCATACCTTTATAAAAAGAAAATATATTGGGTTCTTGTACTCCCTTCTATTTCGTAGGTTAAACTGGTGAAGTCATTCGAATAGGAGTATTGACCGTAGAATATAGTTATGTACTCTTAAAAAAGTTGAGTTGCATAAATCATGATAAGATAAAGCCTATAGTTTTTAATGATGACACTCTTCAATCTGAACTGATAGAACTCCTGAAAATTAAACAAAATATGCAAACAATTCAAAATAAACATAAACACTTGATGGAGATTACATGGTAAACAAAATAAACAATAATTATGAACTGGTTAGATGAACTTGTGAGTGACATCTTTTATGTTGTTCCAATATTATGTTTCTCTTGTGATCATTAAACTTGCATCTTATGAATATTGCTAATTACTTCTTTGTTGCAGTACCATTGACTCGGACTCTTTTCCGTCTGAGGTCATAACATATGACCAATGGATACAACTAAGACCTGAATCAAACATGCTTTCTGGTTGGATTAAAGGTGCATTTCATGGTGGGAAGAAGGACGTGCAGGAGTCGATACGTGAAAAGCTTAATCTTGTACTCAGCACAGCTCCAATGTGGGACAGGTCTGTTGCATTGCATTCATCTTTATTTTCTGTTATGACACTAACTTTTTCCTGAATTAAATAGAAACAGTGGTTTGTTCATTATGACCAAGAATGTTGACCCTCCTGGTAGAACGTTAAAAATTCATGTAGTTAAGTTAGGGACGTGCAAGAAAGTGTTTTTGGTCTTCACTAATTTATTTGCAGTGTAAGATCTTGAACAAACAAGGAAGAATGACATCAAACAATATAATGTTGGCTAATAAAGCCCACCATTCCCAGGAGAAGTGTTTGTTTGTTGAGTGTGTGTATGTGTCCTCCTCCTCCTTTTTTGGGACCGGGGTGGGATAGGGGGAGAAGAGAGAGTATCAAGGAGATCAAAGCTATTTCTGGAAAAACAAATGTTCACGAGTTAGTAGACATTCCTTCTCTTCTCATGGAAGAAATTTGCACATATCCTTGCAGAGTTGCATTTTATATGAAAGCATTACCAACTCGGAAATTCTACTCAAATTATTCAAATTATTCTGATACATACAGGTTGGAGCTTAAAGGTAATAAATATGTTCTTGGAGAGTTTCTCGAGTTCAAAGGGGACAATGAAGATATTCGGGCATTGGGAAACATCAGGAGATCAAAAGTTAGTACAGTGACAATCCAGAAAACAAGCATGTTTGGTGTAGGTAAGGAAAAATAATAACTATGGTAGTTGGCAAATGCATTTACCTGATTGTACTTGAACATAACCTTGTGATATGGTTATAGATGTCTACCGGATACTATGTTCGAATTTTCCTTGAATCTAAGATATCTTCTGTTGCTTTGGGAGTTGCAGCTCATTCCAAACTCCAAGTACTCTACTGTCTTCGAGATTATCGTGGTGAAGGGGCTTCAGCTTCAGACTGGAAAGAAGTCACTGTCCATTCCAGGACTGAGATCAAAATTCAACCAAAAGGTTCAACTAAAGTACGCAAATACAAGTTATCTTCAGTTATTTCCATGTCATTAAGTGCCTGACATGTCCGTGCGAAGTCTCCTATGGGCATTGATCATTGTGATGGAGTGTTTTAATAAAAATGTTTTGATTCTGAACCTCGTTCTTCCTTCAGAAGTTCTAAGTTGATGTATGTAACTATTTGTTGTGTATATCCTATCTGGTGTAGCAATTCTGGGTCAAATGTAATGGAGAAAGCGCTCCCTTATTAGTGAGTAGTAAACATAGGAGAACGGTATAATGTAACAAAATTCTGGTACGATAGAGAGCAAATTGCTGGTAATGTTTTAAAGGGTTGTTCTGTTAAGGAACAAGTTATTTGGCTTTATAATACGAATTAAAGAATGATTGGATTATTTTTTATTAGATGTTTGATTCATAGACTGAATATGGGAAGTTTTGGAGAAGGGCAAAAATTGCATACTTAGCCTTTGAGTTTAGTTAATGTACGGGCAAGGGGGTGGATCATATTGTAAATACCCCGTATGCATTTATTTGCTTATATAATCAGACCTCTCTTAAATATGTTTTGGTTGTTTTATCGAAGTATAGTTATAAAAAAAAATATAATATTCATATCAAGTATGGCCAGATTATAAAAAAATTCCATTCTCTGTAGTAATTTGCAGGTGGAAAAGGTACAATAAGGTATTGTTACATACTATCAAAGCTTGGCTCTATGCAAAATGCTTTTGTTTGGTCATTTGACATTTCTGTTATGCTTTCTTTATATGCAACTTTCTTGTAAGTGAAATTTGTAACAGATTTTTTCAACAAATGAAACAAAGAATTTGTAATAAACTTATGATGAGATCTTCAATCTCCAAAATCTATCTAAAATTTGAGGGGGCTCTTCTCTTTGGAGCAAAAGAATATTCTTCAATTAGTTCTGTACGAGCCATGCTTTATAAACAGTGATGGCATCAATCAATTCACTTGGACTTCCAATCCAGTATCAAATCCCAGCATCAGTTTGTTTAGTTTCTTGTTGCTAATCCTTTGCTCATATACAGTGTCATCCTCCAAACTGCATTTCACGAGTAAATGGTAAGTTGAAAGTAGAATGAGATCGAGGTTGGTTGATGAAGAAGAAAATAGAATTTACCTTTGTGTTCCTGATGACGCTGAAGGGGGCAGAAGCATATTGGCTAGTGTGGTAGCATCTTTAGTGTTGTTTATGACTCTGTTGAAGCATAAGTATCGTCCGTAAGAGGAAACATCCTCAAACACACACATATGTGCATCTACCAAGAACTTGAGGTCCACTGCTACAAACACACCATCTTCATACATTTCAGCTGCTCCCTTCAAGTAAGGTTCTCTTATATTGAGGTCTGGATGGATTAACAACCCTGCATTTATAGACACCATGTTCACATCTCTGTCCATTGCCAATGCCCATGCTGCTTTCTCCGCTTGTGTCTTTGATAGCCCGTGCCATAACTGTCATGCCAATACATGTTAGTCTTTGAGAGTATCTAGTAAGCAATACTTTTAACATCATCTATGCGTTTGGAATTGTGGAGGATTGAGTAGGTAAATTACCTTGTACTTTTTGCAAAAGTTTATGTCGGTCCAATCTCTTTCATCGACATAGGAATGAGAATAGGAAGCCTCAGGAGAGTCATGTTGGTCCCTCTTCCTTGTACCCCATAACACAGCTGTTGCAGATGATGTAAAAACTACTTTGTTTAAGGTGTCTGTTTGTGCACAGGCTTCCATCACATTGTGAGCTGCTCTGACTTCCATTTCTCCCATCAATTCCTGCAACATAACCCAATGATCTAGTTAATTGGATGAGCTCTCTGTTGAAAGTTCCACGCATGAAAATGAGAAGCCAGAATCAAGGTGTGGAAAACAAGCCACTGTCTATGAGCTTCACAAGCACATGATCAGAGTCGTGGCTCCTCAGACCTCATACTGCTTAGGATCTTACAGGTTCATGTTCTATTTACTTAAATTCCAATTAATTATGGTATGATTTTTAAGGCAATTGAGTAGTTTGTGGGATAACTCACGTCGTAGGTGGGATAGTCAGAGGGGGTCTCGAACGAGTAAAACAGACCACAGCAGCCTTTGAGAGCATCTACTATGCTGTGATAATCCAAGGGGTCAGCATGGAAACATATCAACTTCTTGCTTTTGCTGTCATCATTGGCACAACCATATTTCCTCTTAAAACATTGCATTTCATCTGTTCCATCAAGATTTCAGGGTCAGATTCTTAGGATTCAGTTTATAAACTTTCAATAGGTGAGATGGTCTTTGACAGGATTATAAAAAGAAAGATTAGTAAAGTTACATCTAGTAATATCACCAGTGAGTCGATAACAATGATAATACAAAATTTGACCAAGAAAATAGTTTGCTCTCCAGCCTCAACTACTTTCACTGCCCTTTCTTTGTTTATGTTTCTCTCACCAATCACACAGCAACAACAACGTACCAAGCGGAACCCATAAAATGGGGTCTGCGGAGGGTAAAGTGTCTAACTTTCCATCTACAGCTCATCCTATAAATAATTTTTAAAGAAGTATGGTATGAACTTAAATTGGGAAAAGGCTACACCTTTGTGTGGTATCCTATTCTACTTTAATTTATAGTCTTTTCAAACTTCAAAATAACGTGGTTGGGGCCTGTTTGGCCATATATTTCCCAAATAATATTTGGGAAAAACTTGGCAAATGGTGTTTGTCCATATACTTTGCTATTATTTGGCAAATATTTCAAAATCTCAAATACTAGTTTTTTCTAGTATTTGGGTCAAATGTCATTATTTGAGATCTTTTAAAAATTGAAATTTTACCCTAAACTTTTTTTTTTTACAAAAACACCATCTATAGTTGTTGCTTACATTGTATTACATAATTTTTTACGTTAATTTTAAAGTAGTGATGAAATATTTAGTGAATGTTAAATGATAATATGGTTATTGATGAAAATGATGAACAATCGACTCAAGATAACAAAATCATGTATTTTGTCTATTTCACGATGTATGAAATGATACTTGTTGCACTCATTTCAAATTACCACATTGCTCTAGTGTCATGGATACTATTTGTTATTATTGTAACAAAGATCCAATTGACTAGTATAATAAAAACTTATGGTTAGTTTTGATATTTTTAATCTTATGAGTATAAATCATATTTTTCTAAAAAAGAAATATATTTTCCAAATACTATAGCCAAACACATGGTGAAATTTCACCTTAATAATATTTGCCAAAAATATTTGAAAATCTATGGCCAAACGCTAGCCAAGTATGAGCAAAAAATGACAGTTGTTTCAACTCCACTAAGAAAAAACAACTAATTCAATAGTCATTAACTATGTTGTTGATCCTAAAAAAAAAAAGGTATCTTTTTTAGGATTCGATATGAGTGTGGCAATAATTTTAAAGCGTCCAAGCAACATAGGTCATGAGATTGTTTTGTGAGGGTGTTTCAAGTGGACTCCATTGCCCAATTTCCCACTTCCATTAAAGGAGGGTAATTCTTCATAGTAAAATTTGATACAATAACATGAAAAGTCAATCTTTGCTAATAAGATTTAAGTCATACATACACCAACAATAATAACATAACAGTGTAATTTCACAAATGGGGTCTGGATACAAACCGTGGTTCTGAAAAGCAGCATGGACTGTATATCCTCTGAGCAAGAGCTGATGGACAATTGCAGATCCCAGGTGACCAGCAGCATCCATCACACAAACTCTCTTTGAACAGAACACTGAATCCTGCTCATCATAAAAGTCTGCTGCAATAGTCATGACTACCTAACAAAAGAATACAACTTAAAAAAATAAAAGAATTTGAGCAACCCCTTTTGCTCCTTTGGTAAAAAAAATTGGAGTAGCAGTTCAAGTTCAGCTGGACAAAAGAACAAACACAAGGTAGGCAAGTATGATAATAAAGAAAAAAGTGATGATATTTAAAGAAGAAAAGTAGGAAGAACAACATTAAAAGAGTGTGTGGTTAAGTAGATGGTTGGCAAACAAAGACTGTACAAGTTGTTAGTTAGATACAGCCTACACACCAAACAGGTTTCGATTAAGATCGTTTAAAATCGAATCGAAATTCATAACCTAGACCAAAAAAAGTTATTAGTTTATCAGTAATGGGTTATTGAGTTAGTGATTTTTTTGTTATCGAGTTATCAGTTTTTAACTGTTTGAGGTTTTTTTTCTTAACGAGTTAACCGAGAACCTGATAGTAAATTAAGTAAATTATATTTATATCATTTGTATATAGTCTTGGCTTAGATTTTGGTTTCTTACTTTTAATTTCTGGCTGTCTCAAATTTTTGATTATTCTTAATTGTAAAACTGTTTGCTTTTGAATAAGACGTGATTTGTAAACTCATGTAAATGGTTCATTTGATTTGTCACATTGTTCCTAAGTAATTTTTAATGTTTTCTTTTTGTGTCAAATCTTAAAGATTAAACCAATAAGGCAACATCTTAATGGTTTCTATAACGATTTAACGTCTATACAAATCAATAACCAATAAGTCAAATCAATGAACTTCAAAATCGAACCGATCTGATCGATACACACCCTAGTCTCTCGAGTTTGAGTAAGTCTAATTTGTTACAGAATCACATTTATTAAAGAGTGTTTTATTCCTCATTATACGACTTGTCATTACGAATTTAACTTTAGCCATACTCTAATATAGACGATGTTTAATAAACCACTATTAAATTTGCATTAAATGGTCTCACTTTTGTGGGGCTATTTTGTTGAACAAAAGTTTTTATAGGTTAGCTAACTGTCAATGAGCAGAAAACAGAAAGATACACAGAGAAATTGGGGTCCTTGTTAAGTATATTTGTGGATCAAAATTGATTCACCCAATGCTAAAATTTTGAAAACTGAAGTCCTTGCTGTTCACACGCAAAACTATAAATGTGATAGTCAAAACGAACACACCAGCTTTCTATGGAAAGTTAGTTGAGTATTGTTGCCTGCTCTATTAAATTTTGTGGCACTATTTATTGTTCTCAAAAACTAGCTGTCATTGCCTTTGGGGAATATTATTAGTAAGCTATTGTATTTGTAGCGGTAAATATTTTTTTCATTTCAAATTAACTGAATTGTCGAGTTATTTTATATCTTTTAAAGAAAAGAAAATTATGACATGGCTTTTTGATGAGAGAGAGTTGCTCAGAATGGTAAGCACTTCTCACTTTCATTCTAAAATTTGCGAGTTTGAATTATTAAAGGAGCGAAAGGGATGGGAGCTCCAAGTATAATTTTTTATTTTTATCTCTATTAATTATTGTGAAATTTATAATTTTAATAACTTAACATTTATTATAGTAACTAATTTCAATACTAACTAATGAAGGTAAAATTGAAAGAATATTTTCTTAAAAAATATTGAAGTTAAGTTAATTTGAAAAATGAAAAATGTTACAATTAATTTGAAATTAATAGAGTACTTCTGTCGTTCAAATTTTGCTTGTTCATTATATTCGTAAAAGAAATAATTTGTCCTTTTATATATATATTCCCTATGTCCCCAATCAATTGTCCATTTTTCTATTTTTAAATTGTTCTTAATTACTTATCCATTTTGACAAAATACAAAATGATAAAAAAAAATTTACATATTATAGCCTCAATTAATTACTTGAAAAAATAGAATTTTTTGAAAATCTTAAATTTTTAATTCACTAACCTTATATTAATAGGAGTAATATGATAAACTTACTATATCAATTATTATTTTCTTAATAGATGTGCCAATTAAAAAACGAAAAAGTAATTAGGGACAGAAACAAAAAATTATTTTATACTATTTATTTAAGTACAAATGAATATGAACTATAGTAGTACTTACTTCAGTTTTTAAAACTTTCACTTCGATATGGTTGGAATAAATGTGAGTTATCCTTAGTAATCACTCACACTTTATTTCATAATAAGTGGTATTTTTAGCTTAAATTAACATCTTTAAAAAATTCTCATTCCTAAAAACATAAAAGGTGTTTTTAATTAATTAAAAATATCCTTATTCAAATGTCTTATCTTTTGAATTTTGAAAGATGACAAGAAAAAATAAATTGAATGAAGATAATAGAAAATTACAATCATATCAGAGTTTTTCTTCTTGTTTCCAAGATAAACTAATGGGAAAAAAATTGTTTTGAAAGTGAAATTTGGATTAGTAAAACAAATATTTTTGAATTTATATTAGTAATTTAATATGAAAAACAAAACTATATATTTTTCGAAATTCAACTCCCAAAAAAAGTTAAAAAAAAAAAAATCATGATGATGAACATTAATTTATGCATGATGAGATCTACGTTTACTAGATAGCCATCAATATCAACCATTCAAATCTTGAGAGGTCGTTTGCTTCAAACTATTATAAACTTAAAAATAAGATTATACTGACTCAACATAAAATAAAAATGAAAATAAAAAAATAAGATCAATTAAAATTATTAAATTATCACACGTGTGATAAGAAGCGGTAGATGCTACCTTTATGGTCAATGGATGTTTGACTAAGTGTATCAAAAGTATCGTATCATGAGCTGAATTAAATCGATTTAAAAATACATACACTGGTAATGAACTTACTTGAGATGATACATTCAAATTTACATATCGTAAAATATTACCAAAAAAATATTTTTTTTTAAAATCAATAAACGGTAAAAATATTCTTTTTCCTATAATTTCTTGTTAAGTGCTTCCCATAAAAGAACACATTAAAGAAGACCATTTAAATTGTTTTGGCAATTATTATTATTTTTTAATTACATGAAGTGTAGATTAGCTACTCCACACCATTTTGAATGGAGCAAGTAATCCTAATCATATCAATGTACATATATAGTTAAGGCTCCCAATAATTTTGACTTTGGTAAGCTTAGGTAAGCATCTGCGAGAGGTCTCTGTGGTGCATCATCTAGAACAGCCTTCAAAACGATCAAAAACAAGAATGATTATGTTTCTCACCAACAGTAGACTTCTTACTAAAAATATTTCAATTAGCAGTACTCAGACCCAATATCTCTAAATTACAATTGAAATAAACAATAAATATGAGTTCCTTGAAATACAAAGGGATCAAGTGTACACTACCACTCTCCAAAAAATTTCCTTTGCAACACAATATCTTTACAGTAGTTAAACATTACTGATGTATTCTACAGATTATAATATAACAAAAAAAAATGGCGGGAGAAGAAGATAGATGACGGATATTACTCCCGCGCTTTGCATGTGCAACCCATTTGAATGAAGATCAGGAACATCAAGCTCAACATATGGAAGGAACTAGCTCAACTACTCGAAAAATACAACAGCTTACGCCACTGCATCAAACGTGCTAGTCACCCCCCTTCACTTTCTTACTAGCAGAATGTCTTGATTTGTTTTTTCGCTTTTTTGAAGATTTTTGTTCTTTCAATTCTTTATGGTGCTGCTCTTCCTCCACTGAGGTAATATCACTTAACTCATCGATATCTGCAGCATTAGGAAGTTTGGCGTCCTTGCCCTCCAATTTCCCCTCATTACCTTCTGGCTGAATGACCGACATTGCAGCTGAAGTATACTGGAGAATGCATAGGCTTCTCGCTAATCTATCTAATCTATTGAAATGCCTCTGAGTGTAAGGAATAAGACCATTAAGAAGTTCTTTATATCCAGGTACCTATATAATGAGATGGAAAAGGGTAAAGTCTC